AGCTACAAAATATTTTCAAAACAAAACAAAACAAAACAAAAGGAAGCATATGTTCCCTGAATCAGATTCAAGACAAGATATGAACTTCTGCTATTTCACCACTTTCTTGGGGACAAATCATTTTCTGTTTAGGGTGATTTTATACAGTGGAATTTGAGACTTAAAAACTTAATTTCACCTCTGAATTATTCTAAATGCTAGTTTAAAATATATATATATATTTTATATATGTATATATACATACAATTTTAGCTCTGTTAAAAATAGACAATTCAACACTCATGCTATAGCTAAGAATCAAGATGTGGTTAATTCTCTACATGAGAAAAGAAAATCAGCAAATTCATAATTTGTAGTTTGATTTTCACTTCTATTATAAGAAATAATTACTATTAGAGCAAGTAGTGCTCAACAGTAGTCCATGAAAGCAACATTACATGTCAATAAAAAGATTTCATGAATATCAATGATGCATAATGACCAGGCAATGGATGTGTCCATGCAATCTAAGAATTCATAACAGGTGAACTGTTTCATTGGTAGGGATAACCTTCAGAACTCTAAAAAAGCAGACTGCAAAAATTTAAATGCAATATAAAAGCCTTAAATGAGCTTGAATATATAAAAAATTTAAAAAAAGAAAGAAAAAGGGGGGAGAAGACATATCAAGACAACTGAAGAAACTGAACTTTAAACTGTATATTAATTAATGGCATTATATCAAGATTAAATTCCTTGTGTTATATTATGTAGAAGGATGTCCTTGTTCTTAGGAGATATCCAAAAAGGATATAGGATTTCTAAAAGGTTCAGTAAAAAAACAAAAGTATGAGTATGTGCACGTGTAAGGAAAAGAGCGTGTAAATGTGGCAAAATATTAACAATTGGGAAATCTAGACAAAGATGATCACTGACTTATTCTTTATACTTTCTTACAAGCTTGACTTTTCAAAATAAAATCCTGGGGTTAAAAAATTTCAGTGAGAGGTCTGACCTCATGCTGCAAGGCATTGTCTCAAGATTAACAGGATAGCTCTGGATTTTATTTTTCAATTCAGAGAGGGAAAAAAACACACTATAATTTTTTCAAAAATCGTAAAGTGCAAACAATAAAAAGAGATGCCCATATTAAAGGATGAATATCAAATAGTATTATAACTCTTTAAAGCTTTTTTAATAACAGGCTAAGGCACAGAGCTGAGGATTTTACTGTCTTCTTTTGTTTTAAACGATGGTCTAGAGAAGAACTACTAACATTTTTTGAGAGCCTAGACATTCTGTTTTATAAAAACATCTAACTTAAATTAACCATCACAAGTATGACTATAGCTGGTATGATCCCAAACTGAAAGAAAATGAAAATAAGAAAGTAAAACTCAATGAGGTAAAGAACTTACATGCAAATCTGTGCAACTTCACAGCTTAGGGTCTCTCCCACATGATATACTAGATGAACAATGAAACAACAAGATTGTTGTTTGCTCTTTTACTCCTTTTTTTTTTTTTACATTTTTATTGATTGATTCTTTAGAGAGAGAGGAAGAGAGAGAGAGATACAAACATGAACCAGAGATACATTTATCAGCTGCCTCCTGCACGCCCCCTCCTGGGGATCGAGCCTGCAATCCAGGCATGTGCCCTCACCAAGAATCGAACTGGGACCTCTCTGTCCATAGGACAATGCTCAATCCACTGAGCCACATGGGCCAGGCTGCTTAGTTTTACTCTTAAAGTTTTATTGAGCCCTGGCCAGTTTGGCTCAGCGGTTAGAGCATCGGCCTGCGGTCCAGAGAAACCCGGGTTTGGTTCCGGCTAAGGGCGCGTACCTCGGTTGCAGTTTGTCCCCGGCCCTGGTTGGTCGTGTGGGTGGCGGCCACTCGATGTGTCCCTTTCACATCGATGTTTCCCTCTCTCTCTCTCTACCTCTCTCTCCCTCCCACTCTATCTGAACAAAAAATGGAAAAAATGTCCTCGGGTGAGGATTAAAACAAACAAACAAAAAAGTTGTATTGAGTTACTACATCTACCACCACAGCTAATTTTTAATAATTACAACAATAAATAGTATATTTCTATATTTCCACCAAAAAGAACGACCTTCCAAAACAGAAAGCCCATAATCTTTAATAAAAATTAAACCCCAAACTTTCAATGTTAATTACATAAAAATTCTAAAATAGATTGTGTGTGACTTCTATGTATTTAAAAAGACATACAGATTAAGAAGTAATTACTAAGAATAGAAATGGGTTTAAAAAGAACAGAAGCAGTATTTCTTTTTCTTTGTTTAAAAATAGAGTTATGGGGTGCTATTTAGAAATAAGATTATGGGTGCCCTCACTGTGTGCTCAGTTGGTTGAAGCGTCATTCTGTGCACTGAAGGGTTGCAGGTTCGATTCCAGTCAGGGAACATACCGAGATTTCAGGTTCAATCCCTGGATGGGGTGCATATGGGAGGCAACTGACAGATGTTTTTCTCTCACATTGATGTTTCTCTCTCTCCCCCCTCCCTCCCTTCCACTCTAAAAAAAAAATCAATGGAAAAAATATCCTTGGGTGAGGATTAAGAAAAAAACAAAAATGCTTAGCAATGTATATAAAAGGCTTAGTGCCTGACCCACAAGTGGTACTCCCTAAATTAGTTATCTTTTCTTTCCTATAATCAATGTTAAGATTCATTCTCATAATAGTTTCCAACATATTATATTAGGGTAACAATTTTTACTCCTTTTAAGGCTTATTGCTGTATATAACAAGACTCTTGAACTTTGTATCACTTTATTCTTTTTCTTTAAATCAAACTGCTCCTTTCTGTTTTCACTAACATGTATATCCCATGACCTGTCATTCTAGGAATAAACGCAATTATTTGGCTTTAGTGTATATTTCTTTGCTGGTATTCCATCTTCTCTACATTTTCAACCAAATCCTGCTGAGAGGCACTACTCATAGATATAGTGGTAGAGGGGGACTAAAATAATGGTGCTTCAAAAGTAACCTACATACTAGAGCCCTGATCCATCAATTGATGATATATATATATAATGTGCAATAAGTACTAATGGAACTTGCCCAGAAATCTCATGTTATATAGTTTGAGGCAGAAAGGGAAATAATTTAGGCCTGGCTGGTTTGGCTCAGTGGTTACAGCATCAGTCAGCGGACCAAAGAGTCACAGGTTCAATTCCAGTCAAGAGCACGTACCTTGGTTGTGGTTCGTCCTTGATCCTGGTCGGGTTGTGTGGGAAGCAACCAGTCAATGTGTCTCTCCCACATCAATGTCCCTCCCTCCCACTCTATCTGATGATAAATAGAAGAATATCCTCAGGTGGGGATTAAAAAAAAAAAAGAGAGAAAGGGAGATCATTTATTCTAAGACTCTTAATTATGTTTCTATGGAAAGAATTTTCAGTTATGAAAACAAGGGATCATATTACTGATTCGCTCTTATTGTTCCTCTTTTGTTTCCACGACTGTTCATAAAAGACCATATACTATATATATTTGACTATCATCATGCTTGATAGCTCTACCTTGGGATAAAGTTGATGTCTTAATGACATAAACATAATCTCTCATTCCACAAAAGTTATTACAATCTACTCTTTGTTTTCAATATTTAAAATAAATATGCCTTGAGATAACAAAAAAACTCAGGAGAGTAAAGTAGATACCATCCCAATATAGCACATTTCCTTAATCATTGTCTTTTTCTTATAGACCTGGTAACTACATAATAAAATTGTACAGTAACTGCTGACAAATTAAAAACAAAACTCAACCTTAAAACACCTTTAGTAATATAGCACAGATGAAAATAAGGTAATTTTAAGAAATAAATTACTCAGTTATATAAATGTCGATGATGTGTTTGAAATGTTTATCTTGGGGTTTTCAACAAAAACAACCTAGTTATATTTCAAAGAAAGAGTAATCTTCTCAAATCAAATATAGTTAAAACTTTATTTGTCCTCTATCTTCAGAGAGAAAGTATTCCACAGAGGTGAATTTTCCACATAATAGTTTATCTATTGTAACACCCAAACTCATCTAACGTAAACCATTTTGGATAGAAGTATTGTGTCCTGTACTTCTCTACCAACGTAGGTAGTGAACCTAATATAAGTATTCGTTAATCCAAGGTCTATAACTGTGCATATGCATTAGGTTACTATGGTATCTTTAAGACAGCAATACCACAGGGGTAGTAACAAATGTAAAGCAATTTGTTCTGATTCTAAATGGTCCCATTTAGTTCTTATGGATCTGCACTTTACATTTTCCCGTCCCTAACTAAAAAGTCTCATCCACCACTGCTTCTAGAGTGTCCTTTACCCATTCTTCTAAATCACTGCTTCTAAACCATGGCTCATCAATCATATAATCAATGCAGATAACTGATCAAGAACAGAAATCAACAAAATGGGGTGACAGCCCTGGCCAATTTGGCTCAGCAGTTAGAGCGTCGGCCTGCGGTTCAGACAAAATGGGGTGACAGACTCCATTTAAAAAGGTACATTAGCCTCAGTGCACAGTGTAAATTTAAGTTTAGCCACTCAGAGAATATTTCCAATTATTTCCTAGCTCTTAATTATATCAGAGGTTATTTTTTTCTGGGAAAACAACAGACAAAATATTACTCAATAGCAGCGATTTTCAACCTTCTTCATCTCATGGCACACATAAACTAAATACTAAAATTCTGCACCACATGAAAAAATGTATTTTTTGCTGACCTTGACAAAACATAGGTAATCACTTTGATTCATTCACAATGGACAGCTTTGTTATTTTGGCTGTTAGCATTTTTTATTTGACAATCTAAGGGAAAAGAGGTCAGTGCCCTGACTAAACAGTCAGATGTTGCCTGTTTTAAAAATTCTTGCAGCACACCAATTGAAAATCACTGCTCTACAGCAATTATTCTCTTCAATTCTTGTTCTCCAAATACTGCTATCATTTGAAAAATGTCACCACTAGTAAGCAAAATTCAGACTTACCTGAGGCACGCCTCGTGAATCGGTTTATTACTGGAGCTAAAGAAAAAAAAAAGCAGAATATGATTAGATAAAAGTCTAATTAGCCACAGCGCTGAAAAGAACCTAAATTGTCGCCCTGGCTGGTATGGCTCAGTTGGTTGGGTGTCATCCTGTGCACCAAAGGGTTGCTGGTTTGATTCCCAGTCAGGGCACATGCCCAAGTTGTGGGCTCTATCACTGCTGGGGGCATGCGGGAGGCAACTGATGGATGTGCCCCTCTCACATCAATGTTTCATGCTCTCTCTCTCTTTTCCTCTCTAACAATCAATTAAAAAAAAAACACAAATTTTTTTTTCTAATCCTCACCCCAGGATATTTTTCCATTTATCTTCAGATAGAGTGGGAGGGAGAGAGAAACATCAATGTGAGAGAGACACATCGAATGGTTGCCTCCTGCACGACCCCGACCAGGACCAGGGACCAAACTGCAACCAAAGTACCTGCCCTTGACTGGAATCGAACCTGCAACTCTTTGGTCTGTGGGCCAATGCTCTAACCATGAACCAAAGGGCCAGGGCTCAATAAAAATATTTTTAAAAAAAGAACCTAGGCCCTGGCCGGTTTGGCTCAGCGGTTAGAGCGTCCGCCTGTGGTCCGGAGAGGCCCGGGTTCGGTTCCCGCTAAGGGTATGTTCCTCGGTTGCAGTTTGTCCCCGGCCCTGGTTGGTCGTGCGGGTGGCAGCCACTCGATGTGTCCCTTTCACATCGATGTTTCCCTCTCTCTCTCTTCCTCTCTCTCCCTCCCACTCTGTCTGTACAAAAAAATAAAAAATAAAAAAAGAACCTAAATTGTTAAGTGATCTCATAAGTTGAATATGAAAAAATAACTGAATAATCAAAAGAAAATACCACAAACACATGAAAATTAAATGTTTAAATTTACTAGTAGCCAAAGAAATATTAAAATATTTCCTGTTAAATTAACACCCCCCCAAAACATTTTTAAAAAAATTTTTCTTTATTGATTTGAGAGAGAGAGAAAGAGGGAGAGAGATAGCAACATAGATGAGAGAGAACATCGACTGACCGCCTCCTGCATGCCCCTCACTGGGGATCGGGCCCACAACCCGGGCATGTGTCCTGACCGGGAATCGAACCTGTGACCTCTTGGTGCATGGGTCAACACTCAATAAGTGAGACACAGCAGCCGGGCAATGCGCCCCAAAACATTTTAAATAAAAATCCCTAGTTACAGACAGCTGAACCTACTTAACTGAAGACAGCATAACTCTAAAATATTTTTATAAATAATTTGGCAATTACATCAAGTGCCATTAAAGGTTTGTGCTCTTTGCCCTGGCCAGTGTCACTCAGTTGGTTGAGTCGTCCTGTGCACTAAAAGGTCACCATTTTGATTCCCGGTCATGGCACATGCCCACGTTTCGGGTTCAATCACAGTCAGGGTGTGTATGGCAGGCAACCTATCGACATTTCTCATATCAATGTTTTTTTTCTCTCTTTCTCTCCCCTCTCCCTCTTAAAAAAAAAAAAAAAAAAAAAAAAAAGGTTGTGGCCTTTAATAGAGTAATTCTACTTTTAGAGATTTACCCTAAAGAAATACCACTAGAGAAAGAAAAACCAATGCATGTATATAACAATTCAGCAGCATTATTTCCACAATAAAAAAAATTGAGAAACAAAATTTAAAATGCTCATGTATACTGAAATCATTACTAAGTGAAGGACAATACATCCTTGATATTTTCAGATTTAAGATATGTGGTTTCAACAATTTTTGTGTAACCCCAAGGTCCATGGCATACAAATCTGTATATTGAAGGCTGCAATTTCAGACTGTGTGGGAATGTACCACTCAACTAGTAAGCTTAACATGGGCCCACTCCCAACTCAACTCAGCTCTGCTGTTTCTTTTTGGATTGGGTTTTAGTTATCTTAAGAGGTGAGGTTTTTAAAAACTTTATTTCTTGAGAGAAGCAGGTAAGTTTATTGTCCATATTATTTACATAAAGGACATCATATACTACACAGTATATTTAGTGACAGAATATCATGGGCCTATTATAATACTTTTAATACTTTAATATTTTCAAAACAGTAATTATACAAATTATTTACATTATGGAAATAGGTCAAGTGAAAAAAGTTAAAATTGTTATCAGCACTATGGTTATACTCATGAAAAATATAAATCTATTGGAACAAGTACTAGGAGAAAACTGTGTCAGATGTTCTACATTAGTGTCTGCAACTGTGCTATTAAATATCAGCATCACCATATTAATGATGAGGGCAATTTACAGTAAGACTCAGAGATATGATTAACTTGCTTTAGATCACACAACCATCCTGTGGCAGAGCTGGAAAATTTGAACCTAGGTACATCTAGCACCAAAATGCTGCCTCATAAAACACAGAGAAAGCAAAAATATTGATTCCTGAAGTCACAATAATAGTCAAGTAGTTTCTTCCATATTGATTTCCATTGTTATTCAAGATTAACTTTGTGAAATAATTCACAAATCCAATTTTCAAAATATTATATATATTCTATTTTATTTATATATATTTATATTAAATTATATATAGTTTATAGCAAACGTATATCCTCCAAATTAATCAAGAGATAAAATGCTCATAATTTCTATAGCAAAATAATTTAGCCATATATTTGCAAAGTCACAAATTACTTACATAAAAGCCTTTCATTGGGTAAACTATACGTTACATATGTTAACACTTCCTTCCATTTTCTTGGACACTTTCTAATTCATTTTACACATTGGTTCAGAACCTAGTCTAAAGAAAGCCTCCCCAGAAAGTTACAAGGACAGGGAATGGAGGGGATGCAAAAAACTTCAACCACAGGAATTCAGGATAGGAATAATGCAGGCTGCTAAAAGCAAGATGAAGGCAAAAAACGTATCTCAGCCTTGGGGAAAAACAGAGTAAACTTTCTCTTTCTCTCTAGCCTCTCTGGACAATGATATCACAGCACTACAAGCTTCTGGTTTGAAATGTTGGGTCCCTTAGGTTTCCGTGTCCTTCTGAAGTATTTAAGGTAGAGATTTTCAACACAAGTGGCATGCTACCTAAAAGGTGCACTTGAATTTGTGGGGGCAATTATTTCACTGTCACAATAATTCAGAACACATCCTTGGCATTTAGTAGACAACATACAGGATAGTCCTGTACAACAAAGAACTGTTTTGAATCCCACAATTTTTGTCCTGTTCTACTTTCAAATATCCCACTGGACATTCACGTTGGTAAAAAAGTCAGTTTATAATATAACAATCTGAGCCTAGATCTGAACACTGTTTTATATAAACACGATTATTTTATACAGTTTTAATACACATCAAATTTTCCACAACACAACTACAACATAAATTAAAGGAATCTGGCATGGGGAGGTTGTATTTTGTTTTGTTTGCAATTTTACTAAAAGATGTACATCATTTCAAAAAATCATGTCAATGCAGCAATGCCACTACTTATTCTTAGAGATTTCTCATGTAAGTGGGAAAATCTAACTACATTAAGTCTTACGTATATATTCATGCACATATTACCAAAATACATTTTACTTACTATAAATTGCTTTCCTTTATTTCTCCTTTATATTTTTGCCAGAAATTATATCAATTTTTAAATTGTGGGCAGACAGGTTATGTGACTGTGATTTCCATTTCCCAACAGTAAATGGGGCACAGATCAGGCAATTAAGAAGACAGCTGCACTAGGCAAGTGATATGCAGTAGCCAAGGTAAACACTGGGTCTTGACAACAATTACCAAAAACCCAGTTCCTCATATACATATTCTTCCATATCCACTTGTAGGGATGAAACACATTTCCTGCAAAATCTTTTGGCAAGCTAATAGTAACCTTCACATTTTTTCTGGATTTTTTAGTCTAGCTACCAAGGGTGGTAGCCTTGCTGGAAATAAAGCAATGTACAGCTTGGCAGGGTATGCCTGGTATTCTCTCTCAGGAACCTCAGTACAGGGAAGGGAACAGGAGGAAGGTGAAGAAGGGCACTGCTGATAAAGGCTGAGACCCAGGGCAGGGGACCAACTGGAATCAGGAGGCTAAGATTCCATCCACAACTGGCCCTGTTACCTTCTGTGAAACCTTGGATGAATCATGTCACTCTAACTTAAACTCTCAACTTATAAAATATGAAAAGTTAAGACCTGCCTGTCTTCCTTCTTTCGGGGGAGGGGGGGTTTGAAGAAAAAAATATGAACATTATCGAAAGTGCCTGTAAACTATAAATTACTATTCAAATATAAAAGATTGACGTTTATTTATTGTGAGCTAATGTTACCAATTTTAATATTTTAACATATACAAAGCAAACAGCAGTGCAAAAAATAATAATAGACTTAAAAAAAAAATCATCACCCAAGTATGTTTTTTATTGATTTGAGAGAGGAAGGGGAAGGGGGTGGGCAGGAAGACAGACAGACAGAGAGAGAGAGAAAGAGAAACATCAATGTGAAAGAAAGCCATTGATCGGTTGCCCTGACTAGGGATCAAACCTGCAACATGGGTATGTGCCCTGCCACCTTTTGCTGTACAGAATGACGCTCCAAACAACTGAGCCACCCAGCCAGAACAACAAATGATGTTTTCAAATGTGACAAGTCAAATTAAGTTTTCTCAGACTCTTGATTTCCACCTTCCGAGTTTCCTATCTATAAATATTCTGTGAATGTATTTATACAAACACACACACAACAAAAAAACAAAAACCAATATTAGTAGGAAATGTATAATCTACCTGGTGAAACATGAAATATGACTTAAGAACATACTAAGTTACTAACAGTTTAAAGAGATTCATCCTAAGACCTTAGTGAATCCTCAAGGAAAAGTACAGAAACATTTACATAGTTTTTACTTTCTCCCAAATGCCATTTCAGTGGAATACTGAGTTCTGTGTTCCTGCGAATATCTTCACATTTGTCTAACCAGAAATCCCTTCAGTTCCTAAACCATATTCCACTAGATTGATCTTAAGAAAAATGCTCC